GAGCTAGAAATACAACAATTGCCTATTTGTTGTCCTAAGGTGTCACTTTATACTGCCTCTTTCTTCTCTCACCAAAAAAGGCATAATCCTAATGTACATCCTGCCCTGGAGGTGAAATGAGCAAAGTGAGCAGAGAGGGGTCAGAAACCAGCCTAAGGAAAATGTTTCCTCAAGGAAACCAGGAGGGAGGGAAAGGGTTTCTTTCTAACAGATGGTACTGAAACTTGCACTTATTTTATCAGGATTTCAGGCTGTCCCTAGGAACTAAGTATGTGCCAGTAAAACTTTAAGAGGATCATGAGAAGTATTTAGAATGTGAAGGGCTATTACTTTTTATTAGTGTACGACCAGGTTTGTCAAATTTAGCACATGGTGACGATTCCCAGCATCCACAAACCTGACATCTGCAAATCTACCTTCTCATTTTGTTCCCCTACATGTCCAAGTTCATTTCACATGCCGAGACTTGACTTTTTACATATAGAAACAAATATTCTTTGTGTGGATTAAATCTCCCTCAACTTGAGTTTTTTTTTTTAATTTTATTTTCCTGCACAATAAAAAGTATCCTTTCAGAAATAGAAGCATACCATTTTAGAGTTGATCCAATCAAACATCTCCTTCAGGGCAGTAAGTTAATAACAAATGTCACTGAAGCAACAGATTGAGTTTTGTAATCTCATCTTGTATATATAATCTATTTATGCCAYGCTGCAGATTCTGAACAGGGGTTGACAAATAGGCAACAACATATTAAGTCAAATACCTATGGTGCCTGAGTTTCCCTAAGTTTGCAAAGGAGTTATGATTCCAAGTTCCATGATGGCAAACCATATGATGCTAAGGACATCCCAATGGCAAGGACAAAGTGGCAATGAGGCCCACCAACAAATAAGCTCCATAGCACAGAGACCTTTTCTGTTTTACTCCTGCGCCTCCAGAATCCAGCATATTTATACTAGTATTTTCTGGAAAAGCAGAATTCTGGTGATAAATACATAGCAGTCACTTCCAGTCCTTGAGCCCATTTCACTTGCTGTGCACTCTGCTGGGTAGTGATGTTAGTAATTTAATTTAACTCCCAAAGCAAGCGTGTTATTATTAACCATCACTGCCTGGTTCTGATAATAATGAGACACAGAGAGTTTAAAGGATTTGATGTAGGTCACACAGCCTAGTAAATCTAGAGCAGAGGCATGGACTATACAGTTTCTAAGAGTCTTATCTCATAATCTAGGAAGGGAACATAGTGACAACCTGGTTTCTTGTCTTGGTTCTGCCACTAACACAGTAATGCTGCACAAATGATAGGTTCAATGACTATCAGAGTCCTTTCCTCTGAAATGCTGGGTTCATAGTTCATCAAGAATAGCCCATTCAGTTATAAATAATTTATCCATAACCTCTAGACCAAGAGACAATTGTTTATTTTGATGTTTTATGAGATATTCAAAGAACACTTATATTCATCTTAATTTCTTCAAAATAGTTTGAGTTTTAGATGACATAGTCCATTTTTATTTGGGTGTTGTTTTTTAAAAATTATTATTCCAGATAAATTCCAACAATGGTATGTGCCAAATTTATAAGGTATATGACTCAGGTCAGACAAAAATAGAGATTGTGTTAGTCATCTTTTTATGACTGCAACCCAAATACCTGACGTGAGCAATGTAGAGGAGGAAATGTTTATTTGGGGCTCACAGTTCCAGAGGTCTCACTCAGTGTTTGGCTAGCTCCATTACTTTGGGCTTTAGGTGAAGCAGAACATCATGGCAGAAGATGGTGCTCAGCTTATAGAAGCTGGGGAAATAGGGTGGGAGGGGCTAGAGATTAAAAAAAAATACCCTTCCAGAGCATGGCTCCGATGACCTACTTCCTCCAACCATACCCACTGCCTACAGCTTCCACCACCTCCCAATAATCCTCTCAGCTCTCATGGATTAATCCACTGATGAGGTCAGAGCCTTCATGATCTAATCACTTCCTCTGAAAACTTGCTGTATGGAGAACCAAGCCTTCCACACATGAGACCTAGGGAAATTTCCTATTATAAACCATAATAGAGATTGACTAAATAGGAACATGAACACTCCTTACACCAGTTCTGTAATGCAACTTGTACAATTTGGATGTATTTTTCTTTTAAATTTAAGTGAGTTCCCTTAATTATTATGGTACTATTCAAAAAAGAAYAAACCTGCCTATTTGAATAACATTTTGTGGAAGAGCCTGAACTATAATCTATGAAAAACAGTTAAGATTTTGAAGGCAAAGTTTTCCGTGCTTGAATGTTGGCTCTTCTAGTGAGTACTTATGCTGTCTTAAGGCACTGATTTCTGAACCTCGATTTCCCTTATGTTATACAGAAATGAAGACACTTATAAGATATTTCCATAATAAGGTTGAGTACTACCTTTGTTAGAAATTAAAACAAATAAAAGTAACAATGGATTCCTTAAACACTTCTTGGTAAAGATGAACACTTTATATTGTATTTTAGTCTGAGTTTTAGACTGTTCTTGGTCCTTACATCACTGTCACAATGACACTGGTATCAATTTTATTTAACAAAACTCTTAACATAGCACTAACTCTGCCAAACACCATTCAAATTCCTTACAAATAATAACTCATTTCATCCCTCTCAGGACCCTATTAATTATGACATTCTCCCGTCTTCCTTCCCCTCTCCCCTCCCTCTGCCCCCCTCCACCTGCCTCTCTCTCTCTCTCTCTCTCTCTCTCTCTCTCTCTCTCTCTCTCTCTCTGTCTCTCTGTCTCTCTCTCTCTGTGTACCAGGGATTGAACTCAGGGGCACCCAGCCATTGAGCCACATCCCCAGCCCTATTTTGTACCTACATAAAATATCATAAACATCTTATGTTATCCTCACAAAACTTCTGATGATTATTTATACTTAAGAGATGAGTAAATGAAGAGCACGCACTCACTATGAACAATCATCATGGCTCCTATCCAGTATGCAGGTTCTACATGAACTGCTGTTTCATTTGTAAGGGAAAAAAGTCAAGCAGAGCCCTCTATTTCCAAGCCCCTTTCTCTCTCTCTCTCTCTCTCTCTCTCTCTCTCTCTCTCTCTCTCTCTCCCAGAGATTGAACTCAGGGGCACTCAGCCATTGTGCTACATCCCCAGTCCTATTTTATATTTTACTTAGAGACAGGGTCTCACTGCATTGCTTAGCGCCTCACTTTTGCTGAAGCTGGGTTTGAATTTGTGATCCTCCTGCCTCAGCCTTCCCAGCTGCTGGGATTACAGGCGTGCACCACCATGCCAGGCTCCTTTCTCTCTTTTGCTGCCACTTGGAACTTTATCTCACCAGCTTTTCCACTGTCATTTTTAGCCTTGCAAAAACAGTTTCCTGTTAAGATGTTAACTTTGATGTAGAGCTGTACTTTAAATATCTTATTGAAAATGTCAGTCACTAGAGCTCACAATGTGTGATATTTCAGGCATACCTTTGTATGTATTTTGGATTTTATGATGAACATACCAAGGCAGATATTTTCTAAATCTATTTGGGCATAGGTTAAGTGTACCAAGATGCTGGATAGGAAGTGTCACTTGAAATCCAGGGTATATACTGTCCTCTAGCAGAAGCCAAGGGTCTCACAATTAATTGCTGAGGCTATAGAATGTTAAATCATCCAAAGGATATTAAATGATGTGGAAAACGACAACACTGTGAGAAATCCTTCATACTTGGACTGGTGTTCAACTATCTAAATACATCACGTGGCTTTTTAAAGCTAGGCTCATATTAATTATGTGATGATAGCAAAATATAACCATGACATTTTTCCAGGGTGACATTTTCTAGCTACAATTAAAATTTAAAACATTTGCGTGCCTAGCTTTCATGTGGATAAAAGAAACTCAGGGTTAACAGTCCCAATCATCTTCATTAAGAAGACATTTTCCTGTTTTTGTTAAGTAGTATATTCAATTATTGGTTATTTAGCAGCATTTGAAAATAAATTATTATGGATTGAAGTGACACGAAATTGTTAGAACAAGAGTTTTCCTATCAGAAAAAAAAACTTGCAAGATGAAGGGTAAATCATTCAACCAATATTTTTTTGAGCATTTGCTATGTGGTCAGATACTGAATCAAGGATACAGTGGTGAGCAGAAACATTTATCTTTATGGGTTTTATAGTCCATTGGATGAGAAGGAAATGGTAATCAATTATATATAAATGTACAATTGTCCCTCGGGCTATCATCGAGAGCGCATGTTGCTTTGCTATGCTATGTCAATGAGTAACACATGGAACTGACCTCATCTGGAAGGGTTAGCAGGGGAGTGCAGGGACACTGTTGGGATAACTTTTCAAGGCTTATTGATAGGCTTGAATCCATACCTTTTCAAGCAGTATTTACAAAGGCATTTTCCCCAAAGGAATAATTTAGGTTCAGCTAAGCATATTAGCTACAAAGACAATGCATTATTTTTATCACCAAAATATTCAAAACAGCTAAAAAATCAAAAGTAAGCTGTTTGTTCGGTTTATTATGTTATCAAAATTTTATCAACTACCAATTCTTTTAAAAAAATAGAAAAATTATTGTCATAAAAGATGTTCAGTGAAAAGTGGTTCATTATACAAGTCAGCAATTTAAAAAGCCTTTGCCATCACCCTGACCTTACCATTTCTAGTTACTAAATTTATCCTATTGGATTTCAAATATACCAATAATAACAGTGATAGTTATATCTTTAGTAATAGCTATCATTTAGCACATGCCAGCCCTGTGTTAAACACTTTCACATCCATTATTTTGATTGATTTTACATAAATCAGTGAAATAGATATTGTTAAATTTATTTATTTTTGTGCATGGAAATTTTTAAATAAGTCAATACAGAAGTGTATTCCCTATGCAACAAAGAAAAAATCCTTTCAATACTCATGCTGTTTTCCATGAATTTCCCTACTGCATTTCATCTAAGTGAACTCCTACATTCTTTTGTTACAGCATTCTGCGAGGAGGGCTGCAGATATGGTGGAACATGTGTGGCTCCTAACAAATGTGTCTGTCCACCTGGATTCACAGGAAGCCACTGCGAGAAAGGTAAATCTAGCTTTTTTTCTCTTCTTCCTAGGTAAGGAGAAAGATGTGGGGGAGGGTAAAACATAAGAAGTTTCTCCGGGAGTAGGTTTCTGTGGGTTGACTTGATACATTGTGTTTTGATGGCAGATGTGGCTCTTCCAAAGTGGGTACCATTTGCTTGCTTCATAATAGGCTTCCTCCCTCTGAAATACTGAGCTTCGGTTGCCCTCCCTCCAATGTGTGTCTCATTTAGCAAGGTCAGGCCTTTCCTCTGCTATAGTTTGCAGTGTGCGTTCTTATTGCTAATTAGAGATAAAGCCTGATGAACTGACCTGCCCCACTTATCATCAATTGGGTAGCATCACCCAGGACCCATTGGAGTTATAACAATCTGCTGCGTCAACGGAATCTAAATTAGCAGCACATGCTCCTTGCATAAAAGCACATTAAATAACTGCAGCGGCAGGTTTATTGGTATGCTTGGAATTTTATTCTAATATTGGTTTATTAGGTGCATTATCATTCATGGACCTCGTAATATAAGTCAATTAGTATTATTAAGATTGTAACATGTGCACCTTTCTATTTGTGGTGTTTACACTTGGCATTATTTAGTGAAATCAAGCTTTCCTGATGATTTGAAAGTTCTCCTGTATACAAATGAAATTTGATGTCCATGTCAATATATGTGTCAATGCAAGCAATGGGTTTAATGCCCGGTAAAAGTAAATATTTAATTGTGTTTTCCCATGTTTTCATAAGTTAAAGTTACTGCACTATGTGATTTTGAGTCTTGATATCACACTTGGTGCTCTTTGTATCATAGGATAGAAAAAGGAAATAGTATACTATATTATTACCTCTGTTATTACACAAAGAGAAGAGTATTTTGTCTGCTGCTGAGAATCTAAGAAAAGCAGTGGTGTCCTTTTCTTCATGTTTGAAAGTTTATGAATTTAGATAATGTTTTTAAAATTTGCCCGTTTACTATACTCCACCCATGTACTGCCTATATAAGGCAGCCTAAGTTTTTTTTAAAACCTGTCAAATTTTACTACATAAATTATTCAACTAGGAAATCAATGAATGATATCAACACCATTGTTTTCATATTTTGTGACGTTATAAATAAATCAAATCATATTTGTTAAATAATAATTGTTTTTTTTAAAGTATAAAAGACCAAATACAGCATCTGAACAGCATGAGAAAATTATCACATGGAGTTAAAGAATTGTTGCCAAAAGCAAAGAAATTTAATGGTAATTTAGCATACATGCCCTTATTGCAAATATTTAATTTTCATTAAGTTTTCTAAAATAAAAAAAATATAAAGGACTCTCATTACTTCTAGATCTCCTATATTTCCCYCAAATGAATATATAGGAAAGGGTGAGGGCAGATAATGTCAAGGATGACAGATACTACTGTTAATGAAATGCATTTACTATGTACTAATTGTGCATTGGGCTTTTTTAATGAATATCTTAATACTGAGAGCTAACAAACAAAAGGCAAAGATATTTTACTCCTATCTTATAGATGACAAACTAAAGCTTAAGTTCAACAATTTTTKCAATTACTAAACCCAGARTAAAACTCAACTTGCATCCCATATTGCCTGTATTATCAACTATGCCTGTTTCTCAAAGATAATATGTGGACTTTTTGTTAAAATGTAGATTCCTGGATCACCTCCCCAGAAAAACTGAATTAGAATATTGAGGGATGGGTCCACAAATCTGCATTTTCATTGAGCATTTCCGGTTATTATACTATTTAACCACAAGCATGATTGTAAGGTTCTTATTATTTTTATATTATAAATGACTTGGAGGGGGAAATTGTTCAAACCAGGGCTTATGGTCAGTGGAAGCCCAGGAAAAATTGATTCCTGTTTCTTGTGCCTTATTGATTTGTCCTTTATCCTTTTCTCCACTCAATAAGTGAGTGATCAAATCAATGCTTACACTCTGGCCCATTATGTGGAACACCAAATATATAGATGAAGAAGAAATCAAAACCTGGGGCAGAAAGAAAATAGAGATAGGCAGGCCTTGGGTTTCTAGATAAATGTTAAAGTTGAGATCAATAACTGCATATTCTTGGATTCATGGGCAATCATCACAGGGAAAAAGTACATTCAAGTTAAATAAACTTCCTCTGTGGGTGATGCTTTTATCATCTGCAGCAAAACCATTCCACTGGATATTGGCCAACAGTCTAATTCTGCTCATATTTTTTCATTAAAAAGATGAAGTAAATATTTTCTAGTCAGCTGTGTGCAAGGGATCTAGATGAGTGATAAGCCAAACACTGAGAGTTTGTGCCATGTTGCCTCTAAATTATTTTGTCATGTTGATCATTAGCAACAAATATGAAGTAAGCCTATTTGCCATTGGGAATAGTCACACTAGATGCCTTGAGAACCAGAGTGTCAAAGGAAAAGTGCAGTTGCATTGTGAAGGTCTTATTGCATGATCCCACTAAATCTTTTATTTATTATCTTTGTTGGAGCTACATAGAGTCTACTTACACTTAGTCTTAAATGTATTACCCTTGCCCTTGTCTGGTTATTGATTTTATTTATTGCTGGTGATACTTAGCCTTTCAAAATTCAAGTATAGTTAAAAATCATTGAAATCATTTATGAAAATGCCTATCTATCCCACTTGCTATTATGTAACAGAAAAACAAACAACTCTGCCTTTTTTTTCTATTGATGAGATTTTATTAAATTTAAATTTCCATAACCCACTAGGGATTAGCAAATATTTAGCCTCTGTTAGTTTATAGAGAAGACATCATCTTCATTCTTCTCTTATCCTTTGACTGTTCCTTCTCTGAGCCTTTAACTTTGATTTAGTTTCACAATTTTCATGGAGATGTGTAAAGAATGAGATAGATGAACAATCATTAAGAATAGTATTTTTGGAAGGATAAGTACCTGTGATAAAACTTCTATTTTTAACCTCCCTAAGAACTAAACAGATAGGATGTCATGGGAACATAGTGTAAGCCAATCACAGAAAAAAATGGAAAAAGTAACAAGTCCTCTTAGAGACTTTCCAAAATGCAAAATCAAAGAGCTACATTAAATCCAGAGATATCTTAATTGCCATATCACAGCAGAATTGAGAGAGTCTGTCTTCTACTTGGTATTTCTACTTGCAAATMTAGAAGCAACAAGTATACTTTAAACAAAATGTATGGAGCTATGTCTAGATAAAAATTCTTTCACTTGGAAATTACTTATATTTTGGACCAGGTAATTCTTTGTTTGTGGAGTGMTGTCTTGCACACTGTGGGATATTCAGTACTATCACTGTACTTTGTCAATTAAATGCCATTAGTGTCTATAATTAGAAAATTCTTGACCATTCAAGAGCCAGAGACTGGCTGATGTCCATCATGTGCTATTTGGGCAAATTTTCTTATAATCTTAAAAAACAAATTGATGTGGAAATTCAGCCTGTTCTATGGCAACTCTCACCTGATGGAATAAACATACTCCAACCACGTCCCAAGAATATTTGACTCCAACCCTTATGTTCTCCTGAAGATGAATAGAGGATATTTGACTCTATTTTTCAGTAGAAAAATTTAAATGTACAATAAACAGATGATTTCTGTATTAAACTCAGACACACATGGATATCTTATGGGGAATTTGCACAAAAATACTTTCTCCATGGCAAGACTATTTAATTAGGCACATTTTAGTAGGTATTTTGCTAGTGATGTAAATCAAGATTGCTACTTGTGATGGTAGAGACAAATCCCCTAGTTATACTGCATTTCCTCTCTTACATATTATATTAATTATAAGTTGTAGAAACATAATTGAACAGATATCTGGTATCCATAACTGGTGTCTTATGAATCTGACTGTTAGAGATGGACAAGACTTACCAAATTATAGGCGAAACCATAGTCTGGTATAAAATAATTGAAAACACAAGTTGATGTTATAAAAATAGCAGACCTTGACTTTTTCTACAATTGTTTCAGAAGTGGGTTTATTTGTTGTAATTCAATAAACTCACATAACCATTGACCCTTTCATGGTCTCTAAGCCTTTGGGAAGCATAAAAACATCTGATAAAAATGTTCAATAGTACATATATAAACAATAGAGTTTTAGCCAGTCACAAAGAAGAATGAAATTATATAATTTTCAGGGACATAATAAATTACAAAGAAGTTTAACATTATTATCCATTCACAATATAAATTTTAATAGTAATTATTTCCCTATTTTGCTTGTCTGAATTTTCTATTTTTTGTAATAAATGTAAATTTTTTTGTAATAACAAATGATATTTTTATTCTTAAATTTACAAAGAAAACATAAACATCATAGACAGACTTACTTTTTTTTCTCAGTTATTGGGCCTCTTTTAACCTTTCCTAAAAGAAATGACTTTTTTGCAGGATAATTTTTTCTAGTATCTTTTCTGTGCCCCAGGGACTTTCATGTATGAAGATAGAAAGTAATTGTTTGCCTGGAGTACAAAATCTATTTACCAGGATTAAAAAATGATCAGAGCCAAAGATTCCTCTAGTCTTCCAAATTTTAAATCTTGTACCTATTTTGAGTGATTCCTATCAATATTCATCTATTTGTGATTGTTCTGGTGACCTCTATACCTGGGGGTAGGTTTTAAAATCTTTAAGAAAGTAGATCATAATTTTATTTTCACCTTAAAGAAGAAAACCTTTCTTCAATTTCCAGGTATCACAGGACTACGAATAGGTAAATTGGATAAAGATGGATGCAAAGGTAATCCTTCAAATTCATAAGCCATCAGGGGAGTTACTTAACTTTTCTAACTTAGCCTCTCTCAGGATGATGGCACATGGCACACTCTCAGTAAATGGCAACTTCTGTTATTATTATTCCTAATTTTGTTGTTTAGATGCCCCCCCAAAAAAAGTAAGCAGAATTTTGTGGGGAGGTGGATATGAAGATTTGAGGTTTCTCTGTGTTCTTTTCCGGTTGAACTCGCCTGTGAAAGAAT